CCTTAATTGATTAAATACACATTCCCACTGTAAGATTTATACACATGTTGAAGCACATGCCCCTATTACAATGCTATCTTCCTTCCTTTCTCTTTCACAGCATCCCTGCAGAGATAAATATGGGTATTTGCTTGCAGACCAATCACCCAATCCTATGAGCATTGCAGCTGGGACACATAAGGAGGCCCCATTTGGGAGCTAATGGTCATCTCCTGCCTGCTGGTTCCAGCTACACTCACAAGAATGAACCAGCACAACCCTCAGCATTGTGTCTTGGCTGGAAGTTAGTAAAACATTTGCAGGAACACCTTCACTTTAATTCCAAGATTTTTCAGGTGCTCCGATCTTTGAACAAAAATTAGCCTACACTTGTGCTGCCTCACATTTATGTCAGGGCATGGGTGATGATGTGTCACAGAGAAATCCAGTATTTTTTGCAACTTTGTTACCTGATCCAGCAAGTACAGTGCCTGTCATCTCTGGGACAGTAGAGAGGTGCCATAGGCAGCCAGGGCACGCACCCTGGGGAGAACAGCAAAGCTGACCAGGCTGAAGCAAGGGCAACTCTGGCCTCCTTTGCCAAAACCTTTGATTTTGGGTAAGGCCAATGAACTGACTTTGGGACTGTATGTTAAACTAACTAAACTTAACCAACACTAAAACCTTAGGATATCTGCAAACTCTTACCTTCCTTTCAAGCTAACTCCTCCTGCACAACAGACACCACGTGTCACTGCCCATCTTTATCCTCCACCCCACCTGGGCACACCAGCAGGCTGTACGTCCTCACCGCGTTCTGAAGCCAAACTCGTTCAGAGCAGCAGCTCTAGGGAAAAAGGCATATTCACGCAGACGCCTTAAACGATGAAACGCTGATGATACCGAACACGGTAGCTGCATACAGTCAAGGATTTTTAACAGACTCTTCTCCCCCTTCTCTCTACTTTTGCTAGTTCCACTGTAGCCTTCCTGAGCCCAGGAAGGGGGAGAAAAGCCAGAACTGCCTGCAGTGTTCAAAATGAGTGTGCACCAGGAATTCACATAATTACATTGCAATGCTTTCTGATTGATCATCTGGTGCTTTCCTAGTCCTTCCCATTATTCTCTTTGTTTTCTGACTGCTGCTGAGTTTGGAAGCTGATATTTTCATAAAACCATCTTTACAACCCTAGGATCATTTCCTAAATAGCAGTATTTATCAGAGCTGTCATTGTGTATATGAAGTTAGACTTCTTTTTTTACTAATTGTGCCTGACTTTATATTTATCAATGTTATATTCCATTTGCCATTTTATTGCCCAGTCATTCAATCTCGTGCTATCCTTCCACAGCTCTTTGCAGCTTTTGCCTTTACCAGCCTGAGTAGCTTGGCGTTTTCAGTAAATTCTGTCCCCGACTTCCCAGGTCTATTTCCAGGTCATTTATCAATATACTGAGCAGCACAGAACTAGTTTTTAATATACTTTATTTATAATCTTTTAATTAGTAATCCATAATTATCCCTTCTTTCTTATTCCACACGACTTCTTTATGTACACTTGGCAAGAGATGCTGTTGAAAGCCTTTTGAAAATTTAAGCAAATTTTATTAGCCAGGCCATCCTGACATAAGCGCTCAGAGACTCTTCCAAAGGCCTGTAATAGATTTCATGGTTGCATATCCAATAAACCATAATGAAAAAAATAGATGTATGTCAATTGGCAAGGTACAACCATCAATTCTATTGGATCTCTCCAGAATGCTCACACCCAGGTGCAGGTTTGGGTTTTTTTCCTTTCTTTGAACCATATTTGCAATTTTTTCTTTCCTTTGGTACTAAGGCAGTTCTGAGCAAAAGTTAGTATTTCAGAAGTCTTCTGAAAATACTGAATGACCTTAATGAAACGAACACCTGCTAGCAACTTACTGGTTTGTTTTAATAAGCCATTTACTGACACTTCAATTTCAGCCAGATCTTCCAATTAAGACCCTGTCAAAAAATGTTAACAGCATGGAAAGTTTGCTAAGGACTTTGACAGCAAACACAGATAAAAAACCCAATATCTATTCTGGTCTATTCTTCCAGAAGGGTTCCTTTATGCCTCGACCACCACCTTGAGTCACCCAAATCTTTTGACAACTGTCAGAGACATTACTATACTGAGAGCCAGACGTAGAAAAAAAATTCAGTCACATCAAGTCGTGGGGAGACAGCATTACTCTTGTACAGCACACAGATAGGTTTGGTGCTGGCAGTTCTAATAGCCAGACTTCCTGTCATGTGGTGAACATTCTTTCGGATTTGTTTGTTTTCAGTAATAAATGCTATGAAAACATTTTGGAATTAAAGCCTTACCAGTTTTCCACTGCAAGGGAAGTTTTCCGATTATACAATCTAGGCATGGAGTGGAGCAAGAGATGAATCACTCATCATCTGTAAATGACTCCATGGGGCATAAGAAAAAATTTCCAGTATTAGACAGATCTCTAAGCTAGCTGAAAACAGAAAACATGAGGTTGAAGACAAACAAATCCAGACTAAACATAAAGCCTTCCCTTTATAATGATGTTTATTGACTACTAGGAAGGGTTATAATATATAGACTTCAGTTATTCATGAGTTAGACTACAAACAAATTGAGACTTAAGTAAGAGATCCCATCACAGCTTGAACAGAATTAATAGGTTTGTTCCTGATGTAACTGGGCAAAGCTTTTTACCTCTGCTTTGCAGGTCCAGTTACACAATCACATTTGGTTTCCTCAGCCTCAGAACATGCGATCTTATGATAAAGTACATGTATTCATACCTCATTTGTATCGGTGTTACTTTGGCTTTAATGTAGTAACAAATCATCCCGTGTTCACAGATTAATGTGCTCCTACTTTCAAGTATCATACAAGCAACGCTACTTTGATGCTTTATGAACAATGAAGGACTCAAATATTTTGAATCATTTATCTGAAGTCTGTGTCCAAACTTTTTGAAAAAAACAATTTTTGCAGATGCAATCACCAAAAAAGTAGAATAAAATAATAATACAAAATCAGAACAAGGGTTTTAGACAAAGGCTGAGAAAGAAGAGGTAGAATAAAGTTGGTGAATCAGATCCAGCAAGCTTAGATCTAGTCTCATTCTGTGTCACCTCT